TTTGGGAGGATAGAAGAAAGAAAGGGAGATCTGATGGATAAGATTGAAAGCCTCGACTCTAAAGAAGAAAGGGGAGAATTTGTAGAGGAAGACAATGATCTCAGGAGAGATTTGAGAAGACAGTTAGAGGACTGCCTGCACAAGGAGGAAATTAGCTGGAGGCAAAAATCTTTGTGTAAATGGTTGCAAGAGGGAGACAGAAACACTAGGTATTTCCACTCTCTAGCAGATGGCAGGAGAAGGAAGAACCTTATCTCCAAATTGGTAGTAGATGGAGTTGAGTTAGCACAACAGGAGGAGATTGCCGGGGCCTGTGTGGAGCACTTCAAATCTATTCTAAGAAGGCCTGTGAGTAGAAAGGTGTGGGTAGAAGGATTGGATTGGCCAGATGTAGGGGTGGAGAATAGGAGAAGGTTGGAAAGAAGATTTAATTTAGAAGAGATCAAGGAGGCTGTGTTTTCTATGGATAGAACAAAAGCTCCAGGGCCGGATGGGTTCACAATGGCTTTTTATCAGGACTGTTGGGATATCTTGAAAGATGATCTTTTGCGGGTGTTTGAGGAGTTCTTCAGGAGAGGAATTGTCAATCTGGGGGTGAACTCAACATTTATAGCCTTAATTCCAAAAAAGAAAGATGCATCCCACCCGAAGGACTTTAGGCCAATTAGCTTGGTTAATAGCCTATATAAGATCATTGCAAAAGTGTTGTCTTTGAGGCTAAAGAAGGTACTGCCAGATATCATTGCACACCACTCAGGAGCTTTTGTGAGTGGAAGACAAATCACTGATCAGATCTTAATTGCTAATGAGAGTGTGGAGAACTTTAAGAGGGATAAGAAGAAGGGAGTGGTTTTTAAGTTGGGCTTGGAAAAGGCTTATGACTTGGTGGACTGGGATTTCTTGAGGAAAGTTTTGACTAAATTTGGGTTTGGGGCTAGATGGTGTAAGTGGATCATGAGTTGTGTCCGGAATTATTACTCAGTGCTAGTGAATGGGATAGTGGTAGATTTCTTTCCAGCCAGTAGGGGTATAAGACAAGGAGACTCCCTTTCTCCTTTCTTGTTCATTCTAATTGCGGAGGTTTTGGGGAAATTGATTCACAGGGCAGATTCTGGGGGGCTCATTAGAGGCTGGAGAGTTGGGAGGGTGGAAACCCCCCTCACTCACTTACAGTTTTCTAATGACACGATTCTGTTTTGTGAAGGCGGAACATGAGTTTTATTAGGAACTTGAAGTCGGTGATACAACTGTTTGAGGAAATGTCGAACTTGAAGGTTAACCTTGGGAAAAGCTGTGTAGTGGGGGTGAATTTGGAGGAGGGAGAGATCAGGGAGAGTGCTGAAGTGCAGGGGTGTGAAATCTCGGGGTGGCCTCTAAACTACTTAGGGTTGCCATTAGGTGATAATCCCATGAGAGAGAGCTTTTGGAACCCAGTGGTGGAAAGGTTTGGAAAAAAACTGGTATCCTGGAAAAAGAACTACCTCTCTCTTGGTGGAAGAATTGCACTAATTAAGGCCACACTTGCTAACTTACCCATCTTTTTCCTGTCGGTGTTTAAAATCCCAGTGAAGGTTGCTAACAGATTGGAKAAGCTAATGAGAGATTTCCTGTGGGAGCCGGGAGAGGAGAAGAGGGATCATAGAGTTAGCTAGGAGATAGTATGTAGGAGTAAGACTTGTGGTGGTTTGGGGCTTGAGAATATTAGGAGAAGGAATATGACTATGTTGGGAAAGTGGTTGTGGAGGTTCCCTTTGGAGTAGGAGAAGCTATGGGCTAGAATAGTGGCAAGTATACATGGGCTGGAGCACAATGGATGGAACGCTGGAATCAAAGCTAGGACCATAAGCAATTCTCCTTGTAAAGCCATTCATGACCTGCTACCAGTTTTCTCCCCTAATATCAGGTATGATTTGAATTCCGGTAACTCCATAAAGTTTTGGGAACAAACCTGGGTGGGGAGTGTCCCTTTAAAGAATCAGTTTCCTTCTTTGTATGCTCTTTTTGATTTGAAAAATGAGTCAATCTCGTCTTTCACCACACCGTCCTCTTCCACTTCTGGGATTGGGTGGAACTTGGGTCTAAGAAGGGATTTGAGGGACT